TTATTTATTTATGCATACAAGAACTGGGGTACAGGCCAGAGGTGGGGGAGGGTGAGAGGATTCACCAGAGACGGAGCAGGGAGCAGAACAGGAAGATTGAATGAAACACTGCTGAGGGGAGCAGCGGGCAGGTCAGAAGAGGTCTCTGTGCCATGTGGGTCACCTCCCTGGCCAGGGGTCGAACTCAGGCTGCAGTGGTTCATAGTGCTGTGCTTTAACCCATGGCACCACCGAGGAGGGCCCTGGAAACACTGAGTTTTATCTCTGCATCATCCAAGGGGCCCAGCGCAGGGAAGGCCGGGCCCTGAGCATGGACAGTCTTGGATATGAATCTGGGCTCTCTCTGTTACTAACAAACTGTGACCCTGGGCAAGTGAAGTTACTTGTCACAAGTGGGTGTGGAAAACTGAATAAGCTGGGATACAGATTGCATACATGCGGGATATTGTTCCTCTGGGGGAGGCCCAGCCTGGCTCCGTTTTGGCTCCTCCAGGGCCTCAGGCTATGAGAGAGGTCTCCTCCAAGGTGAGACAGAATGGAGTATTGTCTTGGGTGTCTGAAACTCTTTGTCTATCCTTGTGCTTCCTGATTTTCTTCACCTTGCCCTGGGCAGGTGACTGTGGGGGTGGAGAGGCCAGAGCCTGTAAGCAGGCCTGGGGTGGCCAGTCGGACCCCCTCGCCCCCGCCCCGGCCTGGCCCCAAGCCCTGTCCCCTGGGTCCATCCATACCTTTCCGCCTACCCTGCAGAGGACACTGGGCGTCTTTTGGCTCCAGGAGGGCCTTGTTGGCATCACAGCCAACAAGTTGACATGCTATTGTACACCATGTCAATGTGGGTATCTGCTCTCCATCCTGGCCCCCACAAATCCATATTCCAACCACACAGAACCTCCTGTTCCCTCCACTCCTCCACAGTCTCGCATCTCTGCCCAGGTTGAGTGTGTTTCCTGAAACATTTTTGCTGGTACCCTACCTGTTTTATCCGGGCACACACAGATCACACACTTCGATCGATAATCGACAGAACCGTGGTTGAGCTTCCACTGTGTGCAGTATTGGCGGGGGGGGGGGGGAGTGGCCAGAAAATGGAGGATCTGGCTAGACAAACAACGGGCAATTCAATCCACTGCCTGTCCCCTCTAACACACACATACAGAAACACACGCCCCGCGCTCCAGGCCTTGTCCGTGCACCGTCCCTCTGCCTGCATCCCGCCCCCTTCACCTTGTAACCGATTTAGACTCAGCTTTCAAGTCTTAGTGCACATGCCGCCTTCTCGGGGAGCCCAAGCGTGATGCTCCTAGTGCTCCCTAGTGCTCCCTAGTGCTCCCCTTCCACCTGGAGCTCTCCACTGGTGTGGACCTCGCCAGGACACTCAAAAAGCTCGTTTGCATTCTGGCTGGCTCTGTTTTCCCAGCTGTAAAATGGGATGGCAATACCTAGTACCGGTGTTTATAGAGTAAAGGAAATAGGGTACTAACCAGCTTGTGCTGACCGTCTGATAACTACCACCAGCTGCACTTTAATCTCCACATCTTTAGCACGGAGCCCAGGGCTGAATGTACAGTGACCAACAGTCATTAGGTGAGGGGGCAGAGGAAGAATGGGTGGGTGGGTAGCAGGCATCAGAAAGAATGCCTGGGCCCTCCCTGGTGGTGCAGGGGTTGGAGCGCAGCACTACAAAGCTAAGCCAAGCCCCGGCCGCTTCAACTCTGGTTCGATCCCCGCCTGCCCCCAAGCTGACCCACACGGCGGGGCAGACCTCTCCTGACCCGCCCGCTGCTCCCCTCAGCAGTGTACTTCAACGATCTGCCTGTTCTGCTCCCCACTTTGTCTCTGGTAACTCCTCTCGCCTCCCCTGCACCTCTGGCCTGCACCCCATTTCTGTACGCATAAATAAATAACATCTTTAAAGAAAGAAAGGATGAGTGTGTTTCCATAATAAGAGACGGTCTTTGTTGGTCAACCATGGCAGTTGGAGGTCCGGACGGGGATCCAGGAAAAACCTAAAATAACCAGCCTTTGTTGTAGCCCTGCCATACATCCGCATCTCACCTGCGGTCCAATTTCTGGGAGCTTAATTGCATGAGCTGTGACAGCAGAATGAGGAAGTGGCTTCTCTGAGAGGTTTCCCCAGTGAATCAGAGTCACACAGAACAGAAGAGGCCATCAGGAGCCGCAGATGGTGTGTCCTCTCCTATCAGAGGAAAGAGGGGGAGGGCTTGTGTGAGGGCTTCCCTGCCCTCCAGCCAGACTGGAAACCCCTAGAGGGTAGCGTGTCCCTGAGGCAAGGCTGCCCCACCCAGGGCCCTGTATAAACTGCTCAACTCTGAACCCAGCTTGTGGGGAATGAGAGGAGAGAGGAGAGGCCAGGCTGACCGCGGAGCTGGGGTCCAGCCCTGCCAAGGCCAAGCAGGGCTTCCCACCGCCCTGCTTCCCCAGCTCATCCTGCTGCGGCCCTTGGCGGCCTCCACTCACACGAAGAGTTAACTCTGGGCTTAACTTCATGAAAGAACCTGAAGCTTTTATCCCTTGATCTTGCCCTCCTCTTTCTTTGCTAAGTCTTCCTGCTCTTTACACCTCCTGCAGGTCCCTCCTCCTTACTCTCACCTTCTGGACTCCAAAAACACTCTGATTGCTAGGGTGGGTCAATGGTTAACACTCAGCCTTTATATAAGCCTGCCCTGGCCGGTCGCCTACCTGCTGTGAGTCCTCCAGTTCCCAGGATCCAGAGCCTGGCTCCTCCACAGCTCTCGCCATGGCCACCTGCTGGCAGGGCCTCTGGGCCTACCGCTTCTATCTGATTGTCTTACTCCTGCCCATTTTGCTGCTGCCTCTGCCCATCGCCGTGGCCACCAAGGTAAGAATGACCACTAATAAGCTGGAAGGGCACAGGGACAAGACTGCCTGGCCTGGGTTCCGGGGATCACACAACCGGCCCATCCCTCGAACCCTGGCAGTGAGGCCGCATCTCTGTCCTCCTAAGGGCTGAGGTTGGAGAGGTTAGAAGAGGTTAGAGGTTTAGAGGTTAAGGGGTTCAAGGAGGCTTTGACTTGATACCCAGGAGTAGGAGGCCAAGTGTCAGGTGCACTTGAAATTGACAGCCTGGGGAAGTGAGAAATCAGTCGTGGAGGTCAGGTGGAGGCAGGTGAGGATGACCTGCCTATGCATGCCTGTGCCCATCCAGGCTTGGGCCTGGCTCAGGGGGCTGGAGCAGGGCTAGCTGCAGGAGGGAAAAGGCAGAGGTGCAGGAGGAATTGGCCTCAGGTGGCCTGTGCCTCTAGGAGTGGTGTAAGCAGAAAGAAGGCACGCACCTGTGATCCCAGGGCTAAGTCTGCCGAAGAGGAGGGTGGGAACTGGACAATGGGACGCAGATACTGTACCCGATGGCGATGGCGGGGGAGGGACCACTGCCTGCTGCCACCTCCACCCCCAGGCGGGAGGATCAAACCTTTGGCTCCCATTGTTGGAGCCCCACCCCCACGCCCGTAGGTTCTCCTACCTCTGGCCGCCTTTAAGTCTGGCTGCTCCATTCTATAGATGGGGAAAGAGAGGTTCAGCCACTTACCCCAAATCCCTGGGCTGGTTCTGGTCTTGCTTGGGAAGCTTGGATATTACACTCTTTGGGTGTCTCTTTGTGTTTGTCAGAATAGAGGGTGAGGTGAGTCTCTGATACTCCCTGATACTGGACATGAACTCAGGCTGAGGCCGACCCAGTCACTATAATGCAGAAAGCAGCCTTTTCTCCCCTGGAGATGGAGACAAGGTCTCCTACTCACACTCTGGATGTGACTGTCCCTATCTCTAAGAGGGGGACTTTCCCCAATACATACTTTAGATGAATAAAATTTGTGCCACCGTCACATTCACATTCACATAGGTGAATGCTATGAAATCCATCACGAAGGACGCCCTCCCCACTGTGAACCCTGTAACACCACAAAATTACGAATCTAAATTTAGCACAGGGTTTGGGAAGCATCTGTTCCGGGGGGAGGACCTTGAGACTCAAGCTTTGCAGTGGAGATCTGACAGGTCACACGCCCCCATGGCAGGGCTGGGCCAGTTCAGCCTGCAAAGTCTGTGCTGTCTTGTCTACCTGCTGCTTCCTACAGGCGGAGACAGGACCCCAACCTGGCTCTACCCAGAGCCCCACAAGTGCCCAGTGAACGCTTTTCTTCCTTTTGTCACGACAGGGACATTGAGGCAGGCTTTTTATCCTCCATGTCCAATAGGAGTGAGGGACTGGTCTGCAGAGGTCTGGGTACGCGTGAGTGACTGGCCCGGCTGACCTTTGAGAGACCCTCGTGTCAGGTCACGGTCAGTTGCATCTCGCATCTCGGTGCTGGTGAGGCAGCAGCTGAATTTTTAGACAGGTTTGGGCAAGTGTGTTCGGCCAGGAGGGAGGACAGCTGGGGATTGTGGTTTCCCTTTCCCCACAAGATACCACAGCCCAGCAAGCGAGATTCAGTAATTTTTCCAAAGTGCCGCAGGAAGCCCGATGGGGCTCAATCCTGGAGGGAGTGTGTGGTGCCCTCCTCCACTGCGCCTGGCCCTGCTGCCTGCTTCTGCCTCCCAGTGCCACCCTCCACCCCCCCATCCTGACTCTGATGAGCTGAGTCCTGGGTCCTCGCTGTGGGGCTCTAGATACCAGCCCCTCTCAAGGACTTTGCTCCTGTAATCATCCTCTCACTCCTGCATCATCAATTTCCCCTCTGCCTGGTATTTCCCACCAGCACAGAAGACCTCACGTCTTTACAAACACCCTTTTCTTTGTTTCACATGCCTCTCTGCCCATCCTCCTGCCCTGCTCTCTCGTAAAGCAGAAGGCCCTAGACTGTTCACGCTGCACATGCATTCTCCCTCCGAAGACAGCTCCAGTCCCCAGGTCTCCAGTGACCAACAGGCTCTCCTCAGGCAGCCGGGAGTCCCACAGTACCAAAGCCTGACCCATGCTCCTTTCCTCCAGCGCTCACATTCGTCACAGGTGCCACCCACCTTGGCAAGGCTGGCTACTTCTTTCAGCTCTGGGGACAGCTTCTCCTGGTTTTCCTTCTGGCCAGCTGCTTGTCCTGGCTCCTCCTCCCTATCCTCACTCTGCCCAAGCAGGCTCAGCTTTACAAAGCTTTTCCCCAGACTGTAACCCCAGCCCCAGCCTCCCGAAGTATGTCCTCTCCACCTACCTGACACCTCCCCTCGCCTTTTCTCTTTCCACCTGTCCTGAACAGAAACCCGACTGTCACCTTTCCAGGTGATTCTTCTCATAGACTCCCTCACTGAGCTGCAGTTCCACCATCCGCCTCCTAGAACTGACAACAGCACCCTTCCAGACTGTTCTCTTCATTTCCACACACACCAGCACGTCCTGCTGACTCTATCCCAAGCATTCTCTGAATGGAGCCACATTCCACTGTCTCCGCCCTGATCTGTCACCATGATTTCTTACCTGTCTCTCCCCCTCTGGAGACTGTCATCACCCAACTGCCAGGATGGTCTTTTCACAACATAGGATGATATCACTACCCTGCTCGAAACCCCGCCCATCAACTGAGACTAAAATCTAAACCTCTTAGACTAGAAGCCCCTGGGGCCCGCCCCGTTCTCTCCCTACTTCTCTTCACCCTTTTCCAGCCTGCCAGCATTCTCTCTGCTCCTCAAACTGCTTATCCCCCTGCCTGGAATGTTATTGTCCAGAAGCCTCCCTCTCATTCCTTAGATTTCAGCTCAAATCCACCTTCTTAGGGAAACCTGCCCCTGATGCTCTTTATTACAAAACCCCATTACTTTACTTAAAGGACTTTCACCATCTGAAATGACAGTGCCTTTTCTGTTTACCCTCTGACTCTTATGCCAGAATGTAGGGCCCCTGAGGGAAGCAGGGGATCAACACATATTTGGCAAATGAACAAATGAAGGGATGTGGGCACACAGGCCCCCCACCCATCCTGAGCCTCTCTCTGCAGTGAGTCCACCGCTTACCTTGTGCTCCTGGATCCTTAAATGGGAAAGATAAATCCAAACTGGGCCCATCCTGTGTGCATGTAACAGCTGACATTTAGAGAGTATTCTTGTGTTCTCAGCATTGTGACAAGCACTTCAGAGTATTGATATGTTCGTTTCTCACAGTAACTTCTGTGTTACTGTGAAGGTGCAATTATTATCTCCAATTCACAGACATATAAATTGAGGCCTAGAGTGGTAGAGAAAATTGCAGGCTAGGCAGAATTCTAGCCTGGAACATGGTCCTGAGGGTCTCTGCCCTTCAATCCAAGATGGCTGCTGACATTTTCTCTGAGTTGGGGGTTCCAAAAGGAACACAGACATTCTGTCCTTAAGTTGCTTTCAGTCCAGAACACCACCTATTTACACAAAGGGAAAGCCAGAAGGCACAGGACCTCTGAAAGGAGAATTGAAGCAAGTGGTATTTGAGTTGGGCTTTAAAGGGCAGTGAGGAGTAAATACTTGACCCGGAAGTTAGACAGCCAGTAATTTAGCGGCCAAATACCTTCCAGACCCCAACAGAACTATCTGTAAAAAGATTCTCCCAGTGGGATAGTTTGCCACAGCAGGTCTTAGCTGAAATCTATGTTGTATTTACAGGAAGAACAGAAGGCAGAATTGCTTACACTGAGTCACCTGCAGTCCTATACCACAGGACTTGTACAGTGCATGCATGGGCACTTAATGTCTGTGTAGCAAGTATATGCTTCCTGCAAGTTATTCTGAAACTCAAAGACAGTGCAGGACTCAGATGATTCACTGTGAACATGAGGACAGAACGAGGAGTTTGAACCTCCATTCCAGGACCTGCCTCTATCTTGTGAGACTTCCTGGCTCTCAGTTGAGAAGGCAGAGTCCAAGGAACAAAACAGAGATTTGGGGCTAGCTAGACCTGAGTTCAAATCCACCCAGGAGGGCTTGCAGTGTGTGTGAGCTCACCCAGCCTCTCAACTCTAAGGAGCTGCTGTGGGGATGATATGAGATAACCCACAAGCAAAAGGCACCTGGCAGCCAGAGCTCAGTGGCTGGCTGCACTCTCTCTCTGCCTCTTTTCTAAATTCTGGTCTCTGGAAACACACTTAAGCTCAAGCACTGAGTAAGATCTCTGGCCTCTTCTCCACACCCAAACAAGGAGCCCGGGTGTGTCTGGTGACCCTCACCAGAGTGGCGTATGTGACCCTTGAGTGTGGCCTTGAGCAGCACTTGGGGAGACAGGTTTTTGGCCTCTTGGGTGCTTGGGAGTAGGATTAGAAGAGCCAGTCTCCAAAATCAGGGGGATCCTTGGAGTAGAAAGAGAGGTTTTCCAACTTGGACTCTGCTCCCAAATCTTGTTCTTGCTTATCAGCACCTGCCCAGGTAAAGGTGAAGCGTGGCAAAGCAAGGTAGAATCTTCCACAACAGTTTCCTGCCTCTCATCCGGCAGCGAAGCCCAGGCTGCTGTGAGGATCACACCTCACAGCATGTGGGAAGCATGTGGGATTGCCCACGGGTCACAGCTCCCACCTTCGCGCTGGCCTGCTGTTTCGCTCCTCAGTGGAGCAGGCCTGATGTTGGACCAAACTCTGATATCAGGGATGTGGCCCCTGCTTTTGTTTTCTCTGACACTCAGACACTTGTTGACCTCTCAGAGCAGTGGATGATGCAACAAAAGCATTCACGTTAAGGTGCAGAACTAAACAAAAATCACTCAAATGTGGTCAAAGGAGAAGGGAGTTGGCCACCATCCCTTGCACCTGGCAGAGCCTCAGAGACAGGCTGGGGGTGGCAGTGCTTTTGAGGGGAAAAGGGGTAGCTTCAGGTGTATCTGGCTGAAGGCTGCCAATGGCGGGGGGCTGGAGGTGGGCTCGCCAGAAGTGGGGG